ATATAATTTTTATAATTTTTGACTGCATAGTTAATGATTTAAAAATTGTCAAAGTTGAAATTTATAATAAAAACATAATAAGTGGACTCAAACTTTTGGAAACAATCATATAGTAAGATCAAAGATCTTGTAAAAAAGAAAGATCTTAAAAATTATAAAAATAAAGGTCCATGGGATCAACAAGTTTAATAATCAGGTAGATCTACTTGCTAAACAAGTTAGACACAAGAATCCAATAATTTAAAATTAACTATTAAAGTTAAGAAAAGTTTTTACAATAGTTATATAGAGCAAATATATAATAAAGATTAGTATTAGAGTATTTATCAAAACATTGAATAGAAAAATAAATGAAAAAGATTGAATAGTATAGAAAAGAATTCTAGAGCTATGGATTCAAAATAATAAGATTCTAGATTTATTAACTTTTTGAATTAGTTTAATCTATTTAATATCTTTGATACCTTTTTCAAAGCTAATAAAGATAAAAGCTCCTTGACTAACTTAACTTACAATAAACTTTTAGTATTGTAAATACTCAAGAAAAGAAAATTGGATATTTATACATAATGATTTGTCCAGTATATAAACTTCAAGAAAAAACATTAGAATACCTTTTTGAATATCCAGCCATAAAAAAAGTTAGAGAAGACATATGATGAAAAACAAAATAAAAGATCAACTACTATATTAGTAAAGAAATTAAAGATAAGAAAGAAGTTTATTTTAAAACTAATAATTGAACAAATAAATAGCTAAATGAGATTTAACAATCTAACAAAAGTCTTTTTAATACTATCTATTAATATATAAAAGAAACCAAAATCATTTTCTTGAAGAATTACTTCAAAGCACAACTTAAAATTTTTCTGGTATTCACATAGAGCATAATCAATAAGTTTTGTTATAAGATAAGAAAAAACTTTAAGAATATCTGAAACAATCACTATACTAAAATAATAGAGTGAAAAAAGAAGCAAAATATTACTAAAGAGAATAAAAGATTTAAAAGACCTGGGCATATATTTAATATATAGATTACATAAGAGTAGAAATAAATTTTAACACTTTTAGAAGATCTGAAACAAGAAGTTTTTGAAAAAAAGAAGGGAAAGAAATATATGAAAATTATTAAAGATTGGATTTGTCATAAAATTAAATGGTTCAATTTTTAATTACAAATAGAATTTAGAATGATCTTTAGTAATAATTTTATTGATTAGAGAATTTATTCAAGTTAGTAAAAGAATAAAATATCATTTTTTAAGTTGTATTTAAAGAAATAGTTTTTTAATAACAGATAGATTAATATGTGAAAGTCAAAATATCTTGTAAATATCTTTATATATATATAGTAAAAATATGTTATGCTGATCTGACTGCAAGTTAAAAAAAAAACCATATTTTTATTAAGATATTAGAAAAATATCTATAATATTATATGGATTATTTATATAATATTTAACTCATTTTTATATTTATTAGTTTATTTTTTATCCTCTGTCAGGCTAGTTATGTATGCTTTATTAAATATTTGTAAGCTATACATATAACATGAGGTGCTGAAGCTATTTTTATATTTATTAGTTAAAGAACTATATTATTTAAAAAATATAAGAAATCGATTAAGCTAATTTGAACTAAACAAAACAAAGTTTAAACTAAATATTTTAAATCAGATTTTGAAAACAATATCATATTCTTTTAATAAATTGATTATAACTTTTATTTATTTAAATCATTGCCTATAGTTTATCATTAGAAATTATCCTAAAAAATAATAAATTATTGAATTATCATATTGAAAAAAGAAAAAATATTAATAATAATTAAATATTCTTCAAAAGATTCTTATTAAAATAAATAATCTTTACTTAAAAAAATTCATCTGATTAAAATATTTTTTGAATTTCGAATATCTAAAAAACTTAGTTATTTTTGATATAGAAACTTTAAAAAAAATATTTGAAAAACCTATTCTTTTACTGATATATGGATTTGTTTATTATATCATTAATATTAATGTTATATTATAGCAAAGTTAATCTGGCTAAAATAAAAAAACCTTTATAAAAACTTTACCTAACTAGGATAAAAACTTGAAGATTTTAACTTTTTTTTTGAAAAAATTGTTTTATTACTTGAAAAATTTGTTAAAAAATAGAAATGCCATGTTTTATATCCTTTACTTGTCTTTTGATATTATAACTATTTTTTTTTGAAAACTTGCTTAATTAGAAAATAACTTTTATAAACTTTTTTATTTTAATTAATGATATTATTAAGACATATGATTGTAATCAATAGAAGTTTATTTATATTTCAAAAACTATTTGTTTTATATTGATCAAATATTTTTGATAAATATTATGCTACTCAAAAATTCAAGGTTAAATTGAAATAAACAAAATTTTCTAAAAAGTCATATAAGTAAGTAGGAACTTTAAGAAGATAAAACAGTTAGCAAGAGAGAAAATAAATTTTTCCATGTAATAAACAACTATAAAATTTGTTTCAAAGGTAAAAAAAAATCTTAAGATAGTTCATAATTGGTTTTTTTTTTCTTTGAATACTTTCTTGCCACTGGTAGTAAAGATATTGACTTTTTTTTAACCACCAGAAGTCAAGTTTTTGGTCAAAAAGGTTTATAAACAAGAAAGAAAATATAATAATAACTTTTGAAGATACTCTTCATTTTAAGGATAGTGATAAGAATTTATTAACCAAGAAGTTTAAAAACTTTTGGTGAATGTCTTTTGTGTGTGGTCAAGAATCAGTGAAAAAGAGTTTTTGCCAGAAGTCAAAAAAAAAAAGGAAATTTATAAAAATCTTTCAAGATAAAATTTTATATTAATTTTTTTGCGTTTTGAGTTAGCATCGTTATAATTATTCGAATTTACGTACATTATATTGAATATTAAAAAGCATCGAGTTAGATTAACCAAAGTAACTTTTACACCGATAATTACTAAACAGTTATCGCTTAAAATATTAAGTAGAAAAGTAGGTCTCATTATATAAATTCAAATAGAGGCAGCGAGTAAAGAAGTATCGGATATGTAGGGACGTTCAATTCATAATTTATTCCTTGTATTTGTCCAGCTTATAATAATGAAATAAATTTATAATCAATTATGCATTAAATGGAAGTGAGAAATATCATAAAAATAGTTACCTGTAGGGTCAATGTCTTACTACTGTTCATTTCTTGATCTCTGTATATTCCAACGAGAGCCTGAGCTTTCTCATATAACGTGCTCTTAAGTGAAATGACAATGAACTGGAAGTTGTCTGAAGCATGTTCCCGAATATAATTCGCAATTTTCCCGACATTCGTATTATCTAAAGCAGCATCAACTTCATCAAGCACAAAGAAAGGCGACGGTCGATAACTAGAAATACAAATTGGTCAGTGCATTCTAATTTGTGAAAACCACAATACATTTAAAAGCTACCTGTGAATCGCGAATAACAATGCCAATGCTGCCATCGTTTTTTCACCACCAGATAATTGTTCCATATCACGAAAACGTTTCATCGGAGGCATAGCATGATACTTTACCCCATCCAAATAAGGTTCCTATGAGCAAATATTTCAGATTTTTGTTTTTCTTAAAGAGAATTTATTATTGCGTGTTTATAGAAGCGTACCTCTGTATCCTCCAAACTAAGATATGCAGTCCCTCCCAAGGGGAAACTACGACTCTTTGTCAAATCTTTATAAATCTTATCAATATTTTCGGCAATATGTTCATATGCTTCATGGAAATGTTTATACCTAATAATACAAGTATGAATAATAAATTTCATGATAACCAAGAGTATAACACTAACCGGTCTTGTTTAACGGCATTAAATGCCTCTTTAGCCGATTTTGCTTCTCGTCTCGCGTTATCAAATTCCTTTTCAGTATCCTGCAAACGTTGTTCGATACCGTCAAGTCTAATAAAGAATTAGTTAGCGGTAATAACCTATAGTGGTCGAACAAGCTCTCATATTATAGAATATACCTTTCAATGGCCTTTAGGCTGGGCGCAATCTCTTCCATTTTTGCTGATATTTCGTCAATCTTTTTTTCAAAGTCTTTCGCGATTTCTATCCCATTATTCTGCATGTGTAAAAATACATTATTAAACGTGCGTTAATCCATTAATTTGATATATAGCCATGATAAACATACCTCCATAAGATCTTCTGTCAAGGAATCAAAATCAACCTGAACATCCAGATTTGAATTTACTCTACTACTTGATGCAATGTCATCGCCATCGTCGGTATCCATAGCATCATCTTGATACTACATATTGAATTATAATAAATACCGCATTGACCAACAAAATTATGAAATTTGGAACATTTACCGAGTCTCTTATTAAAACTTCATCGAGCGATCCCCTCAAGAGCGGCAACTCTATTTCTTCCAATTTACATTTACGAAATATGGAAAACCTATCAGCCTCCAGTTTCTCTATGTCTGATTCCTAATTTCATATGAGTTAAGAAATGCCCTAGGATGATAACATCAAATAAAGATCATCACCCTTTTACCTTATTAATAACTTCCTTCATCATCTTGTCGATTTCTTTATTTAATTGTGATAATTGCCTCTTTGCTGAATTAACAGCGTCCGTTCTTATATCAAATTCCTTTTTAATTTCATTAAGTTTTTCTTGCTTTTTAGTAATTTCATCGGAAATACGTCTTTTATCACTCAGCAATTGATTCTTCTCTTTTTCAAGCTCTGACAACCTGTGCTCGTCATCTCGTATAGCGGCCTCTAACCTATTAAGTCGATCTTGTGTTTCATTTCGCTGTTCTGATTCAAACTTTAACCTGCACGATAACGATAATATCATTCCCGCACCTTTCTCAATGCGAAAGCAAAAAAAAACTTCTGTTTTATGGAATAATTCCACTTACTGATTTTGAAGGCGTGACCTTTGCGTCGTAAATCTAAGTCTATTTTCAGCGATTTCTTGGGCCATCTTAAGCTGTCTCTGCTCATAATCACGAATATTTGCGACTCGAATTTTACGGCAAAAGTCTCCAAAAACGTCATCCTCAATCAAATTTATTTTATTCTCTAATAGAACAATTTGCTCATTTATACGCGTAAGTTCAGTTTGTGCCTAGAAATTGAGGTGGTGGTTATAGTGTTACTATGACTTACGGCAAATATTATCGCGCATATATTTACCTGATCCAGCGTTGGCTGAAGTTTTACCACTTCATTAGCAATAACGCCTAATTCATCGTTGACTGCCTCTAACTTTTTTGTGACCTCGAACTACAAAATAAATAGGCATAATTATGATGGGCAGCGCAACTGTATCCCTAATAAATATTCATGGCATGCATACCAGATCCTGTTGAGAAAGTTCGAGTCTAGATTCCAAACCAGATATTTCACTTTTCTTTTGTTCTTCAAAATTTCCTCTCCGTTTCGATTTACCGAGATTACTCAGCTTGGAAAAAATTTCATCTCTTTGTCGTTTTAATCCTAATGGTCATTAAAAACTTTAAATATCACGTCAGTTGGACAAAGGTATCACACTGTAGAGATGATCCAACCTTCCAACGTATCCATGCGTTTCTTTTCAGTTACTCTTTTCGCGCCTGAAAGAATATCATCGCTATGCCCGCCTGTGATCAACCCACTTTTATGGATTATAGTGCCATCGAGAGTAACGGCTAACAGGGAAGTTAATTTCAGAAGTCATAATTTTTAGGACACTTAATAATTAATAACGGTATTCAGTGCTTTTCCACGACTCTAATAATACCTTTTATCTGTTGATTCCTTTCGTAACATATATGCTTTGCGATATCGAGAGTATCACAAACTAAAGTATTTCCGCATGCATATTGGAACGCGCGTTCTAGTTGGTCATTGTATGTAATAACATCGATGGCCAATCTTGCTCCTTTCATAAAACTCCTATATTTGTCGTTTATCGGTTTAACCACAATCGTATCAAGGGGAATGAATGTTGCATGTCCAAGTCGTTGTTCTCTCATATACTTCCGAGACGAGAATTGTAAACTATTAATTGATAATTTGTATGAATCATTTAAGGTACAAAAGGAAGTACCTGGATACATTCGATGGCAGTTTTTTGTTGTTCAACGATAATCGCGTCCAAGTTTCTTCCAAGAATAATTGAGACTGGAACGGCATATTTTCTTTGACTTGGAGTGAATAGATCCAAAAGACGCCCGTGTACGCCGGAAAAAACTCTCTTCAGGCTTTCTATGCATTCCTTCATCCTCTGCTCTCTTTCAGATTCATTTTGATCCACATTTGCCACAGTAATTTTGTTAAGAACTTCTTGCAACTCACGATTTAGGTAAATTTCTTGACGACTGCAAGTTATAATTGGAAAAATGGTGCATCAATTATGAATTAATGATGATTTTTGTGAAATTATCATTCCTACCTAATCGATTCTCTTTCAACTATAGCTGACTGTAGCTCCTTTTTTGATTTTTCAAGATCCGATCGTAATTGTTCCACATATGTAGTTCCCTTATTTGCAAAGTTATCGTCAAAGTAAGTTCAACACATAATGAAGGCTATACGATCAAGAATGCCTATACCTTGTCTTTGTGATCCGATAAAGATAAACTTTCTTCCTCCAGCTGTCTACGACGTCGATCTAAATCCTCCATCTTCTCTTTCAACCGCTGTGTTGACTCGCGACACGTCTTTTCTTGTCGACGGAAATTTTCTAGCTGTTGTTTTTCAGTAATAATCTTTTTGTTGGCTTCTTCTCTCCTACGAAATAAAATAAATGAATTAAGCAATAATTGACATCAAATTTAAGAAATATAAACCCATTACTTTCTGTTGTACTCCGCAATTTCGTCGGCGTTTAAGTTCGCGCTCTTCTTGCTGTTACTACTTTCAGCATTTAATGAAGCTGAAAAATAACGACATACCCTGTTTGACCTCTAATGATTTATATACCTCACTTTCGCGCAATAAAAGAATTACCTTCATATTGTTCGGCATCCCCGGTAATTTTATCCAATTCCGATTGCAGTACTTCGACGCGTTTAGACTATGGTATTAAAAATATTTTAATACGCTGTTGAACAAACAGGCAGCGCAAAAATACTCAATAGGCACCTGTCGCTCAAAATCCTTTCGTACGCCTTCTGCATTTTGCTCAAATTGGTTTAGTTTTCTTTTAGAGTGAGCGATTTTCTCGTCTACTGTAAGCAAAGCAGGGCGCTATTATATAAAAGAGATTTGTTAAAGGAACGTTGAGTAAAATGCTTAGAATGGCCGTAAAATAAACCTTTTCCTCCAATTCTTTTTCTTTTAACTTAATCTCCTTTTCCACTTGGTAATGTTCTCTGTGAACTTTTGACTGCCCAATCCTGGCTTGTTTCAGTTCTGCGTCATACTCTTTCTAAGGATGAATATATAAAAGGGTTAACGATTTCTTCTCGAAATTTCGACTAATGATTACATCACAATCACCTGTAGATTCTGCTTTTCTGTAATTACGTTATTATGACTATTTATTTTTTCCCGATATTCTCTTATGTCTTCTTGAATATGAAACAATTTCCATAAAAGACAGTCAACAATAATTTGTACCTACGAAAAATTCACATCGGTAACCATATAATTTCTCTGACAACCAATATAATAAATCTATAGTAATAATAAACATTAGCTTCATTGCATAATTCAATTATGGTACCTTTTCTTCTTGTAGTTTTTCGTATTGTTGCGCTTGAGCCTTTTGTTTTTGATATTCTTGTATTTCTGAATTAATACCACGTTTTTTATTGAGATTAAATGCTGAATTTTCCGTTGCTCGTTCCTGCTGTATCTTCAGCCTTTCATATTCGGCCTTAAATTCCAGAGAGCTTTCAAAGAAGTTTGCATAATCAGATAATATAGAACTAATAAGGGTTGTTACATCATAAAGTAAGTAAAACCTACCCACTAATCTGTTCAATAAGTCTAGTTAGATCCTTTGGTGATTGTGATGCGATAGCTTCTACATCACCCTTTAAAAGAATTTTAAGTTTCATAATCAAGTTATCGATGTTTCGAAAACTCATTACATTTTCTCGATACTTTGAGCGTAGCAATACATGCTACTGTTCTCTGAATACCTGGAAAACCAAAAAGTTTCTAGCCTTCACCAAGATGTTTCGCTTTTCCAGTTCTGCATTATATGCTGAGAATGTAACCACTTCGTCATTGATTCTATATTCGCTCGAACCATTTTTCGTAATGCTATAATATATAAAATCTTGTATATTGGGAGCAAAATTATTCAAAAACCAGGAAAAGTTTATACTTAAGATACCTTCGTTGAAAGTTAATTTCCTCATCGTTATCATCTTTATACACAGCTATAACCCATGCTCGTTTCGGACTTTCTATATACCCTTCCGGAGTTATGTGATCCGCGTCTTCATCCTCTTCGTCCTGCATGGCTCTTCCTCTATAAATCAGTTCCCTTAACTGCGTGGAACGTAGCTGTGCAGATTTAATTCCCAGAACGAAGGAAATTGCATCCATGAGATTTGATTTTCCTGGATATTTTATTAACGTTTAGAAATTATATAAGGTAATTGATTTTATTGTGACAACTATTAGTTGAGATCGCGTACTCGAACGAGTTCATGCGAATGATAGAAAAGACCATATGCTTTTCGCCGAGCATAAGACAAGGTTCTTATAATTTACTTATATTCTCAAGTTACCTGCACCATTCGGCCCAATTACAGAAGTAAAATTATGAAAAGGTCCTATGGTTTGGCGTCCCCTATAGGATTTAAAGTTTTCAAGTTCGAGTCTGTCAAGACGGCCCATTAGAAATGTATAGAATGAAAAGGGTATGTGCGTTTCGCCTCAATGTTAGCATAGACGCGTATTAAACGCAATGCTGATCCGAGTCATATGAGGTAATATCTGATCTTCTACATGCTTGTGTAACTTTGAACGTTTATATATATATTTTTAAATTTACAACTATAATCTTCTCTGATTATATACAAAAAAGATGTTTACAAGAAGTTTTTTCACTTCTTTGCTAATAAAGTCTTAATACTTTTCTTAAAACAATTTGAAACTTGACTTCAAAAGTTGTCTTTATTCTTTCTTTATTATTTAAAAATTTCTTTATTCAAAAACTTGACTTTCAGTAATTAAAAAAAAACAAATAATACCTTTGATATCAATAGCAAAAAAGATTTCAAAGGAAGAAGTACTGATTGTGAATATAATAAATTTATCTAAGTTATTTAACAAAAATATGATTTTATATTAGAAAATCAAAAGATAATTGTTAAAAATAATCTTTAAAAATTATGAATATTTTAATATAACAAATATTTTTTCTTAAAGATCAAAAGATATTATTAAGTAGAATTTTAATATAATTAAGATTTAAACCTTTCATTAATATGATATTTTAGATTATATGATATAATTATCAATTTTGAAGTTTTGAGATAATACAAGATTTAAATTATTAATAATATATAAATAAACATTAATAAATTTACATATTTATTATTAATAAGTAACAAAAGTATTATAGATATACTTGTTTAATATTGTTTTATTATAATTTCTTTTATTATATTATTTTTTATTTTTATTTTATATTTTGTTTTTATTAATTATATACAGTGCATATAATCTTCTTTTCTTTTTTTTTTAAACTCTCTGTTAAATTAGATATGTGTATATTATTAAACATATATATACTTTACATTAAAGAATGTATCACTAAAGTTAAGTCTCTACCTAACTCACTCATCTCTATTTTAAAGAATTATTAAAACTCTAAATGCAACTTCAGGATTAATTTATCGCTCTATTAATAGTTCAGGTAAAAACCCTTTCAACTATTAATTTTATTGTCTACAGGTCACTACTACAGATCACACTGCGATGTTCTGACAGAGCTTAAAACCCAATCATTTCATTCTATAATCCATTCTTCTTGTTAGAATTTCTTGAAGGCCTTCATTTTCGAGGTTTTCTTCTTCGGGTAGTGGATCTTTTTTCTTTAGGAGTACAGTTTTTCAGCTTGAAAGATATGAAGATCTTCTTGTCTTGTTCTTTCTATCAATTTCTTGTGTTTTTTCCCACTCAATTACCTTTTCACATCTCTTGTTTCATATTT